ATCCCTGGGATGAATCCCACTTGGTCATGGTGTATGATCCTCCTGATGTATTTTTGAATTCGGTTTGCTAATATTTTGTTGAGTATTTTTGCATCTACTTTCATCAGGGATATTGGTCTGTACTTTTCTTTTTTTCTGGGGTCATTGCCTGGTTTTGGTATTAGGGTGATGTTGGCTTCATAGAATGAGTTTGGGAGTATTCCTTCCTCTTCTATTTTTTGGAAAACTTTAAGGAGAATGGGTGTTAGATCTTCTCTGTATATCGGATAAAATTCCAAGGTAAATCCATTCGGCCCTGGGTTTTGTTCTTGAGTTGTTTATTGATTTCCAATTCAATTTCATTGCTGGGAATTGGTCTGTTTAGATTTTCTGTTTCTTTCTGGGTCAGTCTTGGACGGTTGCATTTTTCTGGAAAGTTGTCCATTTCTCCTAGGTTTTCCAGCTTGTTAGCATGTAGGTTTTCATGTATTCTCTGATAATTCTTTGTATTTCTATGGGGTCCGTCGTGACTTTTCCTTTTTCATTTCTAATTCTATTGATTTGTGTTGACTCTCTTTTTCTCTAAGTAAGTCTGGCCAGCGGCTTATCTATTCTGTTTATTTTCTTGAAGAACCAGCTCTTGGTTTCATTGATTATTTCCATTGTTTTATTCTTCTCAATTTTATTTATTTCTTCTCTGATCTTTATTATGTCCCTCCGTCTACTGAACTTAGGCCTCATTTGTTCTTCTTTTTCCAATTTCGGTAATTGTGATATTAGACTATTCATTTGGAATTATTCTTTCTTCTTTAATTATGCCTGGATTGCTATATACTTTCCTCTTAAGACTGCTTTTGCTGCGTCCCACCGAAGTTGGGGCTTTGTGTTCTTGTTGTCATTTGTTTCCATATGTTGCTGGATCTCCATTTTAATTTGGTCATTGATCCATTGATTATTTAGGAGTATGTTGTTAAGCCTCCATGTGTTTGTGAGCCTTTTTGCTTTCTTTGTACAATTTATTTCTAGTTTCATACCTTTGTGGGCTGAAAAGTTGGCTGGTAAGATTTCAATCTTTTGGAATTCACTGAGGTTCTTTTAGTGGGCTAGTATGTGGTCTATTCTGGAGAATGTTCCATGTGCACTTGAGAAGAATGTGTATCCTGTTGCTTTTGGATGTACAGTTATACAGATGTCATTTAGGTTCATCTGTTCTAGCGTGTTGTTCAGTGCCTCTGTGTCCTTACTTATTTTCTGTCTGGTGGATCTGTCCGTTGGAGTAAGTGGTGTGTTAAATTCTCCCAAAATGAATGCATTGCATTCTATTTCCTCCTTTAATTCTTTAGTATTTGTTTCACATATATTGGTGCTCCTGTATTGAATGCCTATATGTTTATAATCGTTATATCCTCTTGTTGGATTGAGTCCTTTATCATTATGTAATGTCCTTTTTTATCTCTTGTTACTTTCTTTATTTTGAAGTCTATTTTGTCTGATACTAGTCTTGCAACACCTGCTTTTTTCTCTCTGTTGTTTGCATGAAACATCTTTCTCCAACCCTTGACTTTTAATCTGTGCATGTCTTTGGGTTTGGGGTGAGTCTCTTGTAAGCAGCATATAGATGTCTTACTTTTTTATCCATTCTATTACTCTGTGTCTTTTGATTGGTGCATTCATTCCATTTACATTTAGGGTGATTATTGAAAGATATGTACTTACTGCCATTGTAGGCTTTAGATTTGTGGTTACCAAAGGTTCAAGGTTAGCTTGTTTACTACCTTACTGTCTGACCTCTCTCGCTTATTGAGCTGTTATAAACACAGTCTGATGATTATTTCTTTCCCTTCTTTTTCCTCCTCCTATATTCTTCATTTGTTGAGTCTTTTGTTCTGTGCTCTTTTTAGGAGTGCTCCCATCTAGAGTAGTCCCTCTGAGATACCCTGTAGAGGTGGTTTGTGGGAGGCAAATTCCTTCAACGTGTGCTTGTGTGGGAATTGTTTAATCCCTCCTTCATATTTAAATGATAATCGTTCTGGATACAGTATCCTTGGTTCAAAGCCCTTCTTTTTTTTTCTTTTTTTTGAGAGGGCATCTCTCATATTTATTGATCAAATGGTTGTTAACAACAATAAAATTCAGTATAGGTGGGTCAATGCTCAATGTACAATCATTAATCCATCTCAAGCCTAATTCTCGTCAGTCTCCAATCTTCTGAAGCATAACGAACAAGTTCTTACATGGTGAACGAATTCTTACAGAGTGAATAAATTCTTACATGGTGAACAGTACAAGGGCATTCATCACAGAAACTTTCGGTTTTGATCACGCATTATGACCCATAAACAATCAGGTCAAATATGAATATTCATTTGATTTTTGTACTTGATTTATATGTTGATCCCACATTTCTCCCTCTATTATTATTATTATTTTTATTTTTAATAAAATGCTGAAGTGGTAGGTAGATGCAAGATAAAGGAAGAAAACATAGTTTAGTGCTGTAAGAGAAGGCCTTTCTGTTTTATTGCATTAAATATATCATGCCATTCTCTTCTGGCCTGTAAGGTTTCTGTTGAGAAGTCTAATGATAGCCTGATGGGTTTTCCTTTGTAGGTGACCTTTTTACTCTCTCTGACTGCCTTTAGTCCTCTGTCCCTGTACTTGATCTTTGCCATTTTAATTATTATGTGTCTTGTTGTTGACCTCTTTGAATCCCGTCTCTCGGGAGTTCTGCTTGACTCCGTAGTCTGAGCAACTATTTCCTCCCCCAGTTTGGGAAAGTTCTCAGCAATTATTTCTTCAAAGACACTTTCTATCCCTTTTTCTCTCTCTTCTTCCTTTGGTACCCCTATAATGCGGATATTGTTCCTTTTGGATTGGTCACACATTTCTCTTAATATTTTTTCATTCCTGGAGATACTTTTATCTCTCTGTGCATCAACTTCTATGTGTTCCTGTTCTGTGGTTTCTATTCCATCAATGGCATCTTTCATCTTATCCATTCTGCTTATAAGGCCTTCCAGAGTTTGTTTCACTTCTGTAATCTCCCTCCGGACATCTGTAATCTCCCTCCGGATGTCTGTAATCTCCCTCTGGACTTCATCCCTTAGCTCTTGCACATTTCTCTGCAGCTCTGTCAGCATGTTTATGATTTTTATTTTGAATTCTTTTTCAGGCAGACTGGTTAGGTCTGCCTCTGCAGATCCCTTCTCAGGTGTAACTATCTTGGACTGGACCAGATTTTTTTGCCTTTTCATGGTGATAGCCATGGCTGTAGGCTCATTGTGGGTGTGTCAGCTGGGAGAAGAAAGTTCTGTCCTCCTTTCTCGATTCCTTGCCCTTCTCCGCTGCCTGTGATGGCTACCTGCACTCCTGGAGCAGCCACCAGGTTAATCTCCTAGGCTGCTGTGGGTGGGGTGTCCGTCAGAGCATCACAAAGCCCTGTGGGGAGTGGCAGGCATGACAGATGTGCTCCTCCATGCTAGTGGAGACCCTGCCAGGCAGTTGTGTGGCAGCAGCAGCCTTTGGGTCTGGACCGGGTGGCTGTGCATTGGGCTGGGATTCCCTTTGGCTCCTGGAAAGATGCTTGCTCACTCTGGCTATGCTGAAGGTGTGCATGGGGCTCTTCCATGCAGGCTTCTATTGGGCTCTGGTATCTCTGCTACCGGTGCATGTGAACCACACCCGGGCTGTTTGGTCGCACCACTGCGGGTTAACACAAGCCTCTCCTATGGCTCACAGATCTGCTCTGGGTTCCTTCCAGCGCTTCCGCCCCCAGCGCGCACTGCTTCTCTCCTGCTATGGGGCCCATGTGTCGGGGTCCGTGCCAGTTGGAGGAATGACTGGCAGGCTGCCTAGTGGTGTGAGGGGCTTCAGAGCTGCACTGCCTCCATTTGGGGCACCTAAGTTTCCCTGGTATTCCCAGCTGCTGAGACAACTTCATCCAGCTATGGGTTCCCTGTCTCTTTAAGACTTGCTGAAAGCACTCACTCTTCTTTTGTCTCAGGGGCACTGGTTGTGGGGACCTGCCCACAGGTTTTGTTTTTCCGTTTCTCTAATATCCAGAACCCCGTGCACCTTGTGTCCACGTTCCGGGTGCGGATTTCTAGAGCTGCTTGTTTAGCCGTCCTGGGCTTTAACTCCCTCCCTGTTCTGACTCCTTTCTTCCCACCAGGTTTTGGAGTGGGGAAGCGTTCAGGTCCTACCTGACTGTGGCTTGTATCTTACCCCCTTCATGTGATGCTGAGTTCACGCAAATGTAGATGTGTCCTGGCTGTTGTACTGCATCCACTGGTGTCTCTTTTAAAAATAGTTGTATTTATTGTATTTTCATAAATATATATGTTTTGGAGAGGAGATTTCCTCTGAACTATTCATGCTGCCATCTTTCCGTGATCCCAAGATGCACTTTTTAAAAAGACCTATTTAAGCTCACCCTTTGTTTCTTTGACTCTTGGTAGAAAAGTGAGACTGCCGGTAAGTACCTTCCTTGGAAAGTAATTACTACACCTTTATTTACTTATTTATAGATTCACTTATTAAATATTTACTGTGTTCTGTGGCAATCAATGTGTATATACTTTTTTCTTTAATTTTAAAATAATCTGAAGAAATATGTGAAATGTTCCCCACTTTACCATGAAGGAAGTGAAACATATAAATCTTGCCTCTAACTAATGTCAGAAAGGGTGATCAACCACTCCAATTTCTCAGAACTGAGGAGTTTCCAGAGATATGGAACTTTGTGTACTAAAACTGGGAAAGCCCTCAGTACACAGGGAAGAGTTGGCCATCTTAGTGGCAGAGTTAGTTTTAAACTCAGGCAGTGAAATTTCTGAGCCAGAGATTTAACCTATATGCTCATTGCTTTCAATAAACTTATAACAATATTTTATCTAATGCATAGAAGAACCTTATTTGAAACTATCTACTCTCTGCAGTATGTGTAGAAAGAGGCAAAGAAATTCCCCAGGCACTACACGGTGGTATTCTGATTCAGGTTTTGCTCTCTCTTCCTTCCTCAGGCACATTTGAGATTTACTGCCAAGCAGGCAGCCATAGAGAAGCAGGGATGAGGGCAATATATAATGTATCCCAGTGTCCTGGCCATCAAGCTACCCATCGCCAACACTACCAAGCTGCAAGAATCTACTACATCATGGCAGAAGAGGTGGAGTGGGACTATTGCCCTGACAGGAGCTGGGAACTGGAATGGCACAACCAGTCTGAGAAGGACAGGTAGGCTTAAGAAAAGAAAAAGAGACCACACTTTAATAGATTCTTGACTATTTTACAGATTAGAAAGTTACTGAAATTCTGTGGTGTGGATGCACTTATCTAAAGTCACCTAACAAGATACCAAGAATTCTAAAGCAGAGACTTGTATGTACATAATCTGGAAGTCCATGCTTCTTCTGTATTACTGTACTGTGGTGCTGAAATAAAATACTTTTCCCACTTCTTCATGCTTTTAATCTTTCCTTTCCTCTGGTTACCCAGAAGTACCTATACTGAGACTTAAAATTTCTAGAGGACTTACTCAAGGGACTGAATATGCCAAACTCAGCTGCCTCTTGACAAAATGTCGTTAATTTACAGGTAAGCTGTATAACAGCAAAAACACAAAATTGAGTGGCTTATATAAATTATATTTGTTTTATGTCTTGCTCACATAACAACAAAAATATTAGCAGTCACGGGATAGTAGGTTAACTAGTCACCCATAACGACTGCTTTTATCTTGGGAACTAAGATGCCCGTTTCAGATGTAGTCATTCCCAGCTATTAAGAAAGGGGAAAGAAATCCATGGCAAGCAGTATTGTCTGTAACAGTATGACCTGGAAGTTATATACATCACTTTCTAATACCCCCATCATCTTGAATTTATTCATATGACCATATCTACCTGCAAGAAAGTCTAGGAAATGTAATCTCCGATTAGGCAGCCATGTGCTTAGCTAAAACATAGGTAATTTTATTACTGAAAAGGAAGGAGGGGAGAATGAAAACTAAGGTACAGTGGCAATTTCCACTACAGTTCATTTTTGTGCTGTCATTATCCTTTGTCAATTCTTGTCTCTATGTTGGTTGTTGAAAGTTGAAGCCTTCTTGCCAACTTGTTCTGAAACCTAGAAAAAGTGATTTATATTCTCTGGGCCTTGGTTTACTCATCTTTAAAGTAATGTGATATACTTGAGAGAGCTTGACTAGAATGAGGTAGGTAAGGAACACAAGACTTGAATCCACATCTGGGTTACCTTTCTGCATGACAGTATCAATGAAAACAAGTCCCATTACCTCTGGATCACTGATTCCACCTCTGGGACATACCTACATTATCAGCCTATTAGAAATGTCAAATGATTAATATGAATAATAAAGCCCTTTGTAAACAGGAATGCATCCCATAAGGAAAAAATTTGCGAGATTACATTTCCTATCTACGTCTTCCCATCCCTTAACCTCCAGCAGCAGAAGCAGTTACTACTATCCTGCTTCCTTGTACACTGTCCTTTTGCCAGACTAATTCCATGTAAGACAACATTAAGGCTGGAGCCAGAGTCTGGGGATTCTGACTCTTATCCCATTGTTCTTGTAATATTAATTGTATGTAAAATTACTATCAGATGATGGCAAAGAAGAAAACATAAATAGATATTGAAATCTTCCATCTTTAGTTGTAGTGATGCAGGCAATGTTGTGGGAAATCTGACATTAGAAAGAGTAAGTCCCATCCCTCTTCTATCTGATATGATATTGGATCTGACTTAGCTTTCCATACCTGAAAATGAGGGTTTGAGGTCCAAGTGCTAATACCAGTCTTTTGGATTCATTTAGTTATGGTAACATCTTCCTGAGCAACAAGGATGGACTTCTGGGTTCCAGATACAAGAAAGCTGTATTCAGGGAATATACTGATGGTACATTTAGGATCCCTCAGCCAAGGACTGGACCAGAGGAGCACTTGGGAATTTTAGGTAAGGTGCTTTCACTTCCCTCTTTGTATATAGAAAAGCTGTGCAACTAGTAGGAAGACTATGTCATATCAGGAGTCCTCCCCATTCCCCATTATAAGTTTTCATGATGATATACTAGAAATATAGTCATATTTTACAAATCAGCCATGAAAATAAGAATGAAAGGGGGGAAATTCATGAATTCTGCTGCATCATGAACCAGGTTTTTCCAGGCTTCTATATCTATAGATTTCTGAGCATGACAGATTTTTTTAATACTAAAGTCAGGGTGCCCAAAGTCAGTAGAAAGGGGACATAATAAAGATCAGACAATAAATAAATAAAATTGAGAAGAATAAAACTATAGAAAAAATTAATAAAACCAAGAGCTGGTTCTTTGAGAAAATAAACAAAATAGATAAACTGTTAGCCAAACTTATCAAGAAAAAAAGAGAATCTACACACATAAACAGAATCACAAATGAGAAAGAAAAAAACACTACAGACACCACAGAAATACAAAGAAATATTAGGGAACACTATGAAAAATTATATGCTAACAAAGTGGATAACCTAGAAGAAATGGACAACTTTCTAGAAAAATGCAACCTTCCAAGACTGATCCAGGAAGAAACAGAAAATCTAAACAGACCAAGAAGAAGCAATGAAATTGAATCTGTAATGAAAAAGCTACACAAGAACAAAACCCCCAGACCAGATGGCTTCACCACTGGATTTTATCAGACATTTAGAGAAGACATAATACCCATCCTCCTTAAAGTTTTCCAAAAAAAAGAAGAGGTGGGAATACTTCCAAACTCATTCTGTGAAGCCAGAATCACTCTAATACCAGAACCAGGCAAAGACACCACAAAAAAAGAAAAATACAGACCAATACCTCTGATGAACATAGATGAAAAATACTCAACAAAATATCAGCAAACTAAATTCAAAAATACATCAAGAGGATAATACATCATGATCAAGTGGGATTCATCTCAGGAATGCAAATATGGTACAACATTAAAAAATCCATCAACAGCATCCCTTATATCAACAAAAAGGACCAAAATCAAATGATCTTTCAGCATCTCCATAGATGTTGAAAAAGCATTTGACAAAATTCAACACCCATTCATGATAAAAAGTCCACAAAATGGGTATAGATGGCAAGTGCCTCAACATAATAAAGGCCATATATGACAAACCCACAGCTAACATCATTATTAAAAATGAAAAGCTGAAAGATTTTCCTCTGAGATCGGAAAAAAGACAATAATGCCCATTCACCCACTTTTACTCAACATAGTACTGGAGGTCCTAGCCAAGACAATCAGACAACACAAAGAAATAAAAGGCATCCAGATAGGTAAGGAAGAAGTCAAACCTTCACTCTTTTTAGATGACATGGTATTGTACATAAAAAAAACCTTAAAGAGATGGGAAGATGGCGGCATGAGTAGTTCAGAGGAAATTTCCTCCCCAAAACATATATGTTTATGAAAATACAATAAATACAACTATTTTTAAAAGAGACAACAGTGGATTCAGTACAACAGCCAGGATACATCTACATCTGCAAGAACTCAGCATCACACAAAGGGGGTAAGATACAAGCCATGGTCAGGCGGGACCCGAATGCTCCCACACCCCAAAACCCGGTGGGAAGAAAGGAGTTGGAATGGGGAGGGAGTGAAAGCCCAGGACTGCTAAACAACAAGCTCTAGAAATCTAAACCCAGAATGTAGGCACAAGATGCACGGGGTGTTGGATATTAGAGAAACGGAAAAGCAAAACCTGTGGGCAGGTCCTTGCTACTGGTGTCCCTGAGACAAAAGAAAAACGAGTGCTTTCTGGAAGTCTTAAAGAGACAGGGACCCCATAGCTGGACGAAGTTGTCCCAGCAGCTGGGAATACCAGGGAAACTTCGGCACCCTAAACCAAGACAGTGCAGCTCTGAAGCCCCTCACACCACTAGGCAGCCAGACAGTCATTCCTCCAACTGGCGCAGACACTGACACATGGGCCCAGTAGCATGAGAGTAGCAGCGCATGCTGGGTACCAGAAGTGGAAGAGACAGAAAAAGGGATAGAAAGTGTCTTTGAAGAAATAATTGATGAGAACTTCCCCAAACTGGGGGAGGAATTAGTTGCTCAGACTACGGAGGCACGCAGAACTTCCAAGAGACTGGATCCAAAGGGGTCAACACCAACACTTAAAATGGCAAAGATCAAGTACAGGGACAGAGGACTAAAGAGAGCCAGAGAGAGTGAAAAGGTCACCTACAAAGGAAAACCCATCAGGCTATCATCAGACTTCTCAACAGAAACCTTATCATCATCAGACTTCTCAACAGAAACCTTACAGGCCAGAAGAGAATGGCATGATATATTTAATGCAATAAAACAGAAGGGCCTTGAACCAAGGATACTGTATCCAGAACGATTATCATTTAAATATGAAGGAGGGATTAAACAATTCCCACACAAGCAAAAGTTGAGGAATTTGCCTCCCACAAACTACCTCTACAGGGTATCTTTGAGGGACTACTCTAGATGGGAGCACTCCTAAAAAGAGCACAGAACAAAAGACTCAACAAATGAATAATATAGGAGGAGGAAAAAGAAGGGAAGGAAATAATCATCAGACTGTGTTTATAACAGCTCAACAAGCGAGTTAAGTTAGACAGTAAGATAGTAAAGAAGCTAACCCTGAACCTTTGGTAACCACAAACTTAAAGCCTGCAATGACAATAAGTACATACGTTTCAATAATCACCCTGAATGTAAATGGACTGAATGCACCAATCAAAAGACACAGAGTAATAGAATGGATAAAAAAGCAAGATCCATCCATATGCTGCTTACAAGAGACTCACCTCAAACCCAAAGACATGCACAGACTAAAAGTCAAGGGATGGAAAAAGATATTTCATGCAAACAACAGAGAGAAGAAAGCAGGTGTTGCAATTCTGGTATCAGACAAAACAGACTTCAAAATAAAGAAAGTAACAAAAGATAAAGAAGGACATTACATAATGATAAAGGGCTCAGTCCAAGAAGAGGATATAACCATTATAAATATATATGCACCCAATACAGGAGCACCAAAATATCTGAAAGAAATACTAACAGAACTAAAGGAGGAAATAGAATGCAATGCATTCCTTCTGGGAGACTTCAACACACCACTCACTCCAAAGGACAGATCCACCAGACAGAAAATAAGTAAGAACACAGAGGCACTGAACAACACACTCCAACAGATGGACCTAAAAGACATCTACAGAACTCTACATCCAGAAGCAACAGGATACACATTCTTCTCAAGTGCACATGGAACATTCTCCAGAATAGACCACATACTAGGCCACAAAAAGAGCCTCAGTAAATTCCTAAAGATTGAAATCCTACCAATCAACTTTCAAGACCAGAAAGGCATAAAAGTAGAAATAAACTGTACAAAGTAAGAAAAAAGGCTCACAAACACATGGAGGTTTAACAACATGCTCCTAAATAGTCAATGGATCAATGACTAAATCAAAATGGAGATCCAGCAATATATGGAAACATACGACAACAACACAAAGCCCCAACTACTGTGGGACACAGCTAAAGCAGTCTTAAGAGGAAAGTATATAGCAATACAGGCATATTTAAAGAAGAAGAACAATCCCAAATGAATGGTCTAATGTCACAATTATCGAAATTGGAAAACAAAGAACAAATGAGGCCTAAGGTCAGCAGAAGGAGGGACATAATAAAGATCAGAAAAGAAATAAATAGAATTGAGAAGAATAAAACAACAGTAAAAATCAATGAAACCAAGAGCTGGTTCTTTGAGAAAATAAACAAAATAGATAAGCCTCTAGCCAGACTTATTAAGAGGAAAAGAGAGTCAACACAGATCAACAAAATCAGAAACGAGAAAGGAAAAATCATGACCGACCCACAGATATACAAAGAATTACTAAAGAGTACTATGAAAACCTATATGCTAACAAGCTGGGAAACCTAGGAGAAATGGACAACTTCCTAGAAAAATACAACTTTCCAAGACTGACGAAGAAAGAAACAGAAAACCTAAACATACCAATTACCAGCAACGAAATTGAAGCAGTAATCAATACACTACCAAAGAACAAAATCCCTGGGCCAGATGGATTCACCTCGGAATTTTATCAAACATGGAAGACATACTACCCATTCTCCTTAAAGTTTTCCAAAAAATAGAAGAAGAGGGGATACTCCCAAACTCACTCTATGAACTCTATCACCCTAATACCAAAACCAGGCAAGGACCCCACCAAAAAAGAAAACTACAGACCAATATCCCTGATGAACGTAGATGCAAAAATACTCAACAAAATATTACCAAACTGAATTAAAAAATACATCAAAAGGACCGTACACCATGACCAAGTGGGATTCATCCCAGGGATGCAAGGATGGTACAATATTCGAAAATCCATCAACATCATCCACCACATGAACAGAAAGAAAGACAAAAACCACATGATCATCTCCATAGATGCTGAAAAAGCATTTGACAAAATTCAATATCGATTCATTATAAAAACTCAACAAAATGGGAATAGAGGGTAAGTACCTCATCATAATAAAGGCCATTTATGATAAACCCACAGCCAACATTATACGGAACAGTGAGAAGCTGAAAACTTTTCCTCTGAGATCGGGAACTAGACAGGGATGCCCACTCTCCCCACTGTTATTTAACATAGTACTGGAGGTCCTAGCCACGGCAATCAGACAAAGCAAAGAAATATAAGGAACCCAGATTGGTAAAGAAGAAGGTAAACTGTCAGTATATGCTGATGACATGATATTGTACATAAAAACCCTAAGGACTCCACCCCAAAACTACTAGAACTGATATCGGAATACAGCAAAGTTGCAGGATACAAAATTATCATACAGAAATCTGTGGCTTTCCTATACACTAACAATGAACCAACAGAAAGAGAAAGCAGGAAAACAACTCCATTCACAATTGCATCAAAA